ATCCTGTTTTATATCACGTGTAGAATGGCATCTTAAATCAATTAAATTCCTAGATGTTACTTTAACTTTATTTACAGTTCTGTTTTGAGCCGACGAATCTGACTTTCCGAAATTCAGCAAACAAGCATCATTTTGTGCAGGAGGCGCTGGTGACAAAGTACCTCATCTCAGATGCTGCTCATCCAGATTCGGAACATCCAGTCAAGGCAATCGACATTTGCTCAGTATCAGTCGGCCTAAAGGCACAAGGTGTCTGTACTTCGCGTCTAACCGTGAATCATGAAAACAAGACCAGTACAAGCAATGTATTGCGAGAACGACTGCTGCTCAACAACAGGAATGGGTTCTCAAACTGACAGAATCCACTTTGATTTTTATGCAACTTGGCGCGCCTCATGTCATACCTCGCTCGACACAGTTCGACCTCATCTTTTTGTTGGAGAAAATGTTCTGTTGTACCAATGGTCGAGGAAATTACCAGATATGAACCCAATAGACAATGTTTGGGAAGCAATAAAGAGGGAAATCGCAAATTTAAGAATAACAACAAAATTGCGCTCTCCTTGAAAATAATTCAAGTCTGGTACCGATCATCCAGAGTTGCATAGAAACTGTCCAGGCATGCCATTAATATCATACCAAAAAGAATAAAGCTCTAATAGCCGCAAGGTGGCCTGCACAAAGTATTGAAGATATACATGTGCATGGGAGATTTTTTATGAAAATTAATTTATATATTATAGTGACAGTCCTAATTTTGCATATGATATCTTGTTTCTATGCGTAAAGTATTCAATTATTACTTATGTATTTCGTTAGAAATAAAAAAATACATTTTTCGTCATAAAAACGTGTATTTTATTGAAAATTTAGGGTGCGTCTAATAATATGGCCAGGGACTGTAAATAGCCAATGTAGTGAGGAGCTGACAGTGAAATGTGGTGTGTCTCAAGGTACAATTCTGGGACTTCTCTGTACATAATATATAAATGACTTCTAAAATTTTGCCTAAAGGTGATCTGATATCTCTTGTCAACAACACAACTATAATTATTAAGATCCTGGGACGAGTGATAAACGAATGGGAAGTTATCTTTGATAGAGAAATGGCTAAGTTGAAATTTTCTGAGCTTAAATGTAAATAAGACTGCATTTATAACATATGGTAGTTATCTGGACAGTATACCAGAGCCATGTGATTTGAAGCTTCACAGATCAAGCTGTGATAATTTAGACTGACTGCCCAAATCAATTGAGAGCTAAAGTTTTTAAATGTTTAGGAATCTTTATTGGCCAAAATTTAAAAATGGAAATGCCATGTGTTGCAACTGACACAGAAGATTAGATATTGTATTTATATTTTCAATAAACAGAGACTGATTCTAGAAACTAATCATTATTGATGATGTACTTCACTTTATTCTGGACAATTGTAACATTATATTTCAGTTCCGATGGAGTTCATTATTGAACATTAGTATAAGTAAATAACATATAAAAAGGTTTATCACAATTCTATATAAAAGGTATGCATTAAACTCAATCATATGTTCATATATAAAAACAATGTGATAAATATAAAACATTATTTTATTGAAAAATCATTGTTGTATAGACGTATAGACTGGCGGCAAGAAATTCTACTCTTATATCAAGACAAACAGCATGTAAAACTGGACCTCCAAACAATGTACTGATTAACAGAGTAACCCAAGAGATTAAAAACCCAAAACTACCATACTCTATAAATGGACACACCTTGGCAGAGACCTATCAACAAAACTATTAAGGTGTGATCATAATACAAAATCTTAAATGGGGAAGTCAAATTAACAACGTATCTAAGAGAGCAAACACTGCTCTATATCTGATAAGGAAGGCCTTCTCGACCTCGAATTTCCCAGCATTTAAGTAAATTTTCTCTACATTCATAAGACTGATAATTGAATATGCCAGTGCAGTGTGGTCTCCATATCTCGAAAAAGACAAAAAAACACCTAGAGAGAATACAGAGGATAGCAACTACGATTCCGATTTATGTTAGAAATCTACAATATTACGTGAGATGTGAGAAACTAACATTGCTGGCATTACAAAAAGAAGAGAAAAAACTGACATTATGGAAACATACAAAATATTGACCAAGATGTACAATGTCTCGTACTCATACACACTATTAGACCAGCTACAGATCCCAGGCTATGAGGACATTCAGCGAAGTTGATGAAAGAGAGAACAAAATCTGGACTAAGAACGCATATTTGAGTCTTACCTGGAGAGGCATGTAAATTTCGTTAATTTTTGCAGGCCATAAAACAGAGCCTTTTTTTCCCTGGGTTCGGAAGATCCACAAGGTTCAAATTTGGGCCTCTGCTTTTTGCGGTAGTTATTAATGACATGGGAGTTGAATTGAATTGTCATGAGTTGACCTTCGCTGATAACATGAAGCTTTTCCTACCTATGGGCTCTCTTGTAGATTGTAGCAACTTACGGTCAAATATTGATCTGTTAGTTCAGTGGTGTAATATAAATAGCTTAACTTAAAACCCTCATAAGTGCTGAGTTATGTCCTACCAGAGAACAACATGCAGTGAATACCCTCATTATATAAAAATATAAAACTTGAACGTGTTGAAATCAAAAAAGATTTGGGAATTACATTTGATCATTAGCTTACCTTTAAACCACAAATCGACCAAGTTATTAGTCGTGTAAATAAGGCCCTTGGATATTTATTGAAGACTGGGAAACACTAAGTCACTACAAACATTGGGAACTATTCATTACTCTATGGTGAGGTCTAGACTTCAGCATGCATCATTTATTTGGTTGCCTGATACTCTTGGTTTGGATTGAATGCTTGAAGGTTGTTAAAGGCTTTCTTGAAATGTTTAGAGTTTACTTCAACAAGAATCCTCCAAGAGAAATTTATCATAGGTCTCCTTTTTTATTATCTAAAATTTCTCAACTCAGGAAAACTGAATAACAGGCAATCTTCGACTGCTGTAAACAGAATGTTTGTTAACGAAGTTAAGTTACCTTTCCAAATCATCACCACTGTTTGATACATTTGATATTGTCATCTTAAATGAGACATGACTTCATTACACCATATCCGACAATGAACTCGACCTACTAAATCTCATTTTCTATAGATGTGACCGATCTTCTGCTAATAGTCATTATGAGACAGGCAGTGGAGTTCTTATTGCGGTACACAGTAATTCATCCAACACGTTTATTGATACTAAAAATACACTGACTGAACACAACAATGATTTGTTCTCATAAAATCATCGTCTAAAACTCTTATTGTCGGAAGAATCTATATCCTAACTTGTGTCAAGTTTTCCTCCTTGGTATTCAAAAGAGTTAAAGTAATTGTTGTTACAAAAAAGCATTTATCATTGCATTTACAAAACTACTTTCGACAATTCCAATTATCTAAATAGATTAATATTCACAAATAATGTAAGGTTAAGGTCATTGATGATTATAAACTATATATCATTGATATGGAAAATTCTATGAGTTATGAGATTAAATCCTTCTGGAAATATGTGAATAATAAGAGAGGAGAAACGGGATTGCCAGACACAGTTGCAAGTTCAAAGCGTTGTAGACCTTTTTGCAGAATATTTTGTATCTGTGTTACCGATGATATAAATAATACTTTTCATGTTGATCAATATGAAAACTCCATAATCAATTTGAGCAAATTATTTATTACCCAAACAGAAATATACTCCGCTATAAAATATTTAAATGTAAAAAAGGGAGCTGGACCTGAAGGAACTCATCCCCCCCCCCTTTTTTTAAAACCTTGTATTGTTAACCTGACACCAATAATATATTTGTTATTTACAAAGTCGCTGCATGAAAGCATTATACCCAGTATTTGGAAAGTTAGTTTTATTACGCCAATATTTAAATCTGGGAATTACACTGCAATAAAAAATGATAAGAGTGATATCCATTTTAAGTGCTATCTCTAAAGTATTCCAATTTATTATAACCAAAAAAACTCAACTTTTTTGAATTCTACTACTACCAATTGATTAATCAGACTTACTATTTTAGACATGAGCGTTCTACAAAAACCAACTTATCTTTTCATAACTTCCTTCATGAAAAATTAAAATAAGCAACAACAAATTGATGTGATTTCCACTGATTTCACCAAAGTTTTTGTAACTGTTGAATTGAATTGAATTTGCCTTATTTTACGTGGCGAGACTCGGGCCATCAGGCTCGCTCTTCCGTCTAACCACGCAAATTTCGCTACGCTCCTTTTACCAACGAGTAGAGAAGGAAGGTATTTCTTGGGCGAGAAACAGGCAATTTGAATTTAGCTCAGAGGCGTCATTTAGGCTTGAGGATCTTTTACATGCAAGTAAATCTACTAACATGGGACAGCCGGCTTTACTTCCCCTCCGAAGGAAGGCGTACGAAGGATTTTGTCTCCCTAAAAATCCACGCTTTCAATCGGGTTTGAACCCGCGAGTTTGGGTATAACAGTCCGGTACGCTGTCACACCATCGCCACCGCCACAGTTAACCATGATATTTTATCCGTCAAGTTAAATATAATAGGAATTCATGGATCTTTATTACATGAGATGTCTAATCATTTGAGTAACAGAATTCAACCTGTGAAATATAAATCTTGTATATCGATAATACTGACTGTAAATTCCGGTGTCCCTTAAGGGTCCCATTTACTCACATAGATCTTATAAATGACATTGCACATAACACCATTGTAGATTTATTGTTTGATTCCCATCAGTTCTCTTGTACATAACTTAGTATTATATGGACTATATTCCATTAGTTCAATCTATCTTGTAAATAGCCCTATTATTGGGTTTAATTCCACTGGACTTTGTAAAATTAAAAATAAAAATAAGATAACTTATATGTCTTAAGTTGAAGCATTACATACATATAAAAGGTTTTCTAATTCCTGAATAATAACAGAAGTGAAACAGATGTACTAACCTGTAATCATATGCAAATAGGAGCTGATGTCTTCGGGGAAATGCATGATGCAAAAGAGCATTTGTGATGGTCTTCCCGTGGTCCACTGGGGAAAATTTGAAACTGAACTGCATCACCTTCATGTTCTGAAAAACAATAATGAAGAAATTCTTAAGCTTAATGGCAAAAATAGACCGCATAGTTTTCTTGACAAAAGTATGAATGAACTAGGGGACACATGATTCAACAACAAAATCATTAATAAGATATAATAATCAACAAAATCATTAATAAGTAATAATATCATTAATAAGATGGTTGCCACTGATTGAACTTTGTGATAGTTAGACACCTATATAGAAAAGGTAATTCCCACTAGGGAATAAGATGACATCTCATTACTTAGGATTGCCAGAGGGAAGTTTAGAGTAACCGAGCAGCAACCAGTACTCAGTATTTTTATTTATTTACTTGGCTTTCAGCCGAGATATCTATTTGAACATTTATTCAATTCTACACCCAATGGAAATAAAATCAGTTCATCAGAATTCTCAAAAAAGGGGTATTAAAAGAATTAAATGTCTAGGAAAGTATTAAAAAAATTACATCCTAATAAACCTAATAAACGAATAATAATCCTAATAAATAATATTATTTCTGGCTGTTGAAATTTTTTTTTAATTCTAACTCTAATAAAGCTCAAATCTGTGCAGTTTTACAAATTTATTATAACGAGTGTCTCAGAAGGAAATGTCAATATTTTGGGAGCCCACTTCATTAGTCACCGAGCAAGAAAGTCTCCATTAACATGTCTCCCATTCCAAAGGGTTTCGAAGACACACCCTCTTGACTGAAATGTATTTTGGACTTGACGTCCAATAACATGCATACCACTCACTGTCATGCGCCACTTTCCAAAGCAACTTAGTCCATGAAATTTCATTTAAGATTGTTGGTACTATATTGCAAGTGTATGGCACAAAATGCTGCCCATCTTCACAAATGACGAAAATGCTGATGTATGTGTATGACTTTGTGACGGTAGTATTGCCACTGATGTAAACAAATACTGTCAATCGTTTCCTATGTGTAGAAATCTGTATCATTACGTCTTCATCATGATGTTCAGGACATAGCGTGACTATGGAAAACTACCCAGTGCTCATCTTTCATCTGAACGAACACATCAAAATATTGATGAACAGGAAAACATTCTTCAAATGATACAGTCTAGCCCTTCAACAAGCTCATTACGACACTCTGTAGTCTCAGTGTTTTGTGAAGACATGTTTGGCGAACATTGCACGGAGATAGTTCGTACTTGTTTCACCTCACAGCATATCCAAAATCTACACCCAGAAGACTATGCCATGTGTCTACAATTTTGTCACTGGTTACATACTAATTGCCAATTGTTTCCAATCATATTATCAACAGAAGAAGCTACTTTCAACCATAATGGAATAAAACATCACGCGTAACTTGTATCCATAGTTTCAGAATAAACAACATGGTACTGCGGACTATAATTTTCAACATTGTTTCTCTGTGAATGTGAGGTGTGGTATGATTGAGGACACCCGTTATTTTACTTGATCATATGAGAGGACAAAATTATGTAGACGTTTTGGAAATTGAATTGTCAGAACAACTAGAGAATGTTCCTTTGGTCACACATCATGCTAAGTACTTTCAGCATGATGAAGCACTTAGTCAATAGACTCCACAAGTGATTCATTATCACTCTGATACTTTTCCTAATCAGTGGATTGATCATGGCAGTACCATTCATTGGCTACCAAGATCTCCAGACCTAATCCTGCTAGATTTTTGTTGGCTTGGGTTGATTAGGGTTGGATAAAACAAGCTGTGTACAGAACAAATGTTAATACACAACAGGAATTGCTGGAAGGCATAATGAATGCTGTCATCCGCACGACAGAACATCAAGATGCACTCTCACAAGCAATATCACATTTCCTCACAAGAGTTGAAAAGTGCATAGATATTGATGGCTTAATTTTCAAGAATGTTTTGTAGCATGTCAACTATACTACCTTTATAACTTCAGAAATAAATATCAATATTACAGACAGAGTTCTGTTTCCAAAACCCTTCAGATTAACACATACAAAAATACTGTATAGTCAAGCACCTCTTAACTCGGAAATCCTTTGGAATGGGACACAAAAATTTTAATATGAACGCTTTTGCTCAGTGACAGATACAGTGTATATGAGGTTTCCTCCAAAATATTGAGATTTCCTCCTGAGATAACCTGTATACTGTATTTGTACTATAAACTAATTTTATAATTGCGTGAAAAATGTCCCTGGTTTCTAAAGATTCTTTAAAAACTCCCTGATTTTTCCTGATTCCAAAAAAAAAAAAAACACTGATTCCCCCCAGTCTTTAAGAAAATACCACCCCGCAAATTAATTAATGGTCACTGAAAGCAAAAAAATATAAAGGGGCCATAAACAGCCAGAGGGACTTAAATATGATAGCCAGTTGTGGTAAAGATAGATTGCAAAATAGCTCGGTGTAGAGCCTTCTCAGTAATCATCAAAGAGAATACTATTTTCCTAAAAGGATAGTGATTTTTCTTGTAAACTCACTTTGCACAAAATACATAGTCCTTTCACTTTGTCAGGAACTGAGCTTCCAGGCAAAAGTCTGCGCCGTTTATCTCCAATGATCTGGTATATCATATCCACATTTGACAAACAAATATCATACTCAGCCAGAAGACAATTCTGCTGAGATATTGTATCCTACAAACAAATACAAGTATTACATTATTAGTTATTTTATTCAATAACATTAAATAAACAAAAAGTGAAGATTTCGCTATAAGAAACAAAAACAATGAAACCATACAAGATATATATTTTACAAAACTGAGTGAAACTGAATTTTTCTAAAATACTACATTTCTTTCTATACAAACAATTAACAATATCCAATTTAACAATTATATTAAGAGTAGCACTGCAACAATACAAAATCATTAAAAAACAGGAGTAGCAATTAATACTCTACTACCAGAAAAAAGATAAGAGGGCTATGTAAGCACACACTCTGACGTAAGTGATTACAGCATTACAAATTAACTTCAAGACAACCTATTATTCAAAATGAAATATAAGTTTAAAACCATAATACAATTTCAGAAAAGTGAACATACAATTAATCAATGATATGAATGATCTAGATTAGAGTGCTGTGTAGTGCATGTGTATCGATGCTAAGGGCATTAGTCCCAGAAGTCATTTATCGTGGGTGACAGTGATCCCCTGCTGGATGGTGAAATCTGCACATCAGCTCATGGGGTTTTCCCCCACCAGGAATCTCCCAGCAGCGGGGCACAACCCTAGCCAGGACAAGCACTAAACTCCTAACTGGTCTGATGTGTGTGGTAATGTAGTGCATGAAATGTAAGTAGGTGTAAGTAAGGGGTGATGGTATGATAAGGAAGGAAAGATTGTGTGCAGTTCATGACCAGTTTGTTAGGATACTCCTTCCGCATTTGCCTAGTGTTGCTCAGAGAAACCATGGAAAAGTATCAATAAGAGCAGCTAGACACTAGAATTCTCCTCCAGACAGCAGCTGAATTCGATCTAGCTATTTAGCTAGTGCTGAAAATCCTGCCACCGTCAGGACTCTTAACACCAGAACCTCCAAGACCAGAGTATCTGCAGTTGATGCCCTGAGCCACGTTTGGCGGTACTTCTATTTGTGGTATGCCTTGTGTGGATCGGATGGATTTCCTGTTGCTATTCCCAGTACGCTTATTCAAGGCAGAGGTATTTTTAACTGTGATTTCTCTCATTTGCAGTGTGTCGTTCATAGACACTGGGCAATGTGTTTCTAGTTAGCATTGTGTTAAAGCAACATTTTGATTTCTTATTGGGAATTTTTTCAATATGAATATTTTAACACCCAATAACCATTTGTTTCTATTTCTTCATGCTTGAAGTTTAAAGCAATGATTTATTTAGAATACATAATTTTCTAAGTACTACACAGTATGTTACATTGTTACCACTACCAAAACAACATATTATTTCATTATTACAAAATATTTGTTGATAAGAATGTGTATTTAATATTTACAATTATCATAATTTTGATTTGTTCAAACTTGATGTAAATGATAAATGAATCTACTTGTTATACAGTTATTTCTATTTTCCATTCTTATTCTGAAGATGCAATGCTATTCATTTTCCGAATGCAGCACATATGCAAGGTTGGGAAGAGCAATGTCGCCTGAGATGCTCCAGTTGCTGGCTTTACCAAATATTATCTGCCTACCTGCTCACAAGGTGCTGCTGACCACAACATTCACTTAAAGACCCCTTGTAATGACTCCGCACTCACCCAGGGTTGAAGGGTTAATTATTTTCAAAAAAAAATTTCATTAAGTTCATTTGGTATAAGAGCTCAAGCCGACAAGGATAAAACCAAATTTAATAAGATAAGAGCTAAATATAAGGACCTGCTCTGCACCAGGGATACCGGTTGCTCCAGCAAAATTGAAAAGTTCGTGAATGTGAATATAAATGCACTTTTAAAACACTGTTAACAATAAGAAATCTTTTCACAATTTTCAACTTTGTCTTATCAATAATAATTCTGATAATAACTTTTGGAACACCTGGCACATTCCAATAGATGCAACAATAGTGTTTAATGTGAATATGAAATCAAGTTTACGAACAGACAGCTGGTAAGACAGCTTTGAGAGCTGGAAAGATGACTGCAGTGGCAGAATATATTCCAGTTTGTTTACATTCACTTAATTGTCTTGTTGAATAAAGAACACATCCATTTCATTCTTTCAATGGATAAAGAATATTATGAAATATGCAAGAAAATTCATACAAATGTGTCATTTCATTTCATCATAACATAAAATGAAATTCTATCCTAAATGGCATTCTTCTAAACTGAAAAGATAAAAATGACATTTCATTAAAATCTGCCCCTAATTATTACATTAAACAATTAAAATCTATACACAATTTAAAGTGTCACTTTTCAGTTGCATCATAGGTTCTATACAATTAAAAATTATACATCCAAAACAAAAATAAATATTTATAATTACTATTAATGCATTAGTTACCGTTATTATTGTATAATTCTAAAAGATAAAATATTTAAATTACAAGTATTGTACTTCAACTTCAGGATCAATGACCATCTCGATCATGTTCTTCATCCTGATTCTCCTTGATCCATTGAACAAATGCTGAAATGGTCCCTTGGTTTCCACCAGATCAGAAATGTAGCTTCACTCACTCCATGTTCTTGTAGTATTAAATTAATTGCTTCTTGAACCGTACAATAAGGTAAAAGAGTCTAAATCTGTAGCTCATTTGTCTTTTCAAATAGATTTTATTAGTTTATATTATTGGGACTGAATATTTCTAATTATCAAAGATCACCAAAAATTGTCATTGCTATCTGTATTTATAATTCAACCTAACTTAGGTTAAGAGTTAGGATAGAGATTCTGGGATTCAAGAAAACATTCTGAAGCTCGGATTACAGTTCTCCCCCATACGTTACACTGTTTTTAACTTTCTTTGATGTTAAATAAATAAATAAAAAGGCACAAAAGCATTATATTTGTCAAAGAAATCTTTGTATGTTCTTCAAGAATTAGTTCAATAAGTTAGACAACTTCAATAAATTTAGTGTATGTCTAGAGAGTAATCCTGATTAATTAATAAAAGATTATGCACGTTAGTTTGCAATTGTCTTATGTATACATGTCAACCAAATTCTATAAAATCCCCCTTCCCTTCTAATGTGGAAAGCAATTATTATCACACCTATTATCAAGTCCTTCAATCTTACTAATGCAATACACTATAAATAGATAGATTGATTATTTTTTGTTTCCAGCACATCCACAACCATGGCCATTAGTCACTTTAGTGTTTAGCAGGAGGTTGCTCTCCCTCTGGAATGTGAGATCCGGCACCGGCCTACATGTCAGCTTGTGGTTTTCCCTCTAGATAGTAACACCAGTAACACAATGCTAAAGCCGGGACAACTTTTAACCTCCCGACATGTGCGGTAGTGTAGTGCATGTAAAGGGAGAGGAGGAAGGGTAGGGAGAGAAGAGGGGACAAGAATGAGGAAGGAAAGATCTCATACAGTCCATCATCTGTTCGTCACAGAACTACTCAAGCATCTGCCTGGTATTAAAAAGAGAAAATACAGAAAACTACCAATCAAAGCATCAAACCCTTAGAATTCTCCTCCAGGCAGTAGCTGAATTTAATCTAAATAACTAGCTCTTATCGAAAATCTGCCACTCTTAGAAATTGAGCCCTGGGACCTCCCAGTCAAGAGTTGTTACACTAGCAACAGTCAATGCCCGGAGCCAGCACTGCCAGTAACAAACTGTAGACCAATTAGTATTTTGAATAACATTAGCAAAATTTAAGAAAGCATAGTGTTCGACTATATTAATGTTCAATTAGAGAAAATTATTATTTAAGAAAATGACCCATTTCTTACTTCCTATATATTTTGAGGTCAAACGTGTAGCAGTGAATGATCTTAAGACTTTTCTTCAGTGATTGACACTAGTCAGATGTTTCTCAATTGGACTTGCGCAAGTAATGCAACTGTGAAAAGCAACAGGGAGAATGAGTGTTCTTGGAAAATCTATCAGTGTATCCTGATATATCATTTCAGGGGTGACCTTTAGCAACAATGTCAGTGTTCCAAAAGTGTACAGGTGTTTTGAGAAATCAAAATATTCTGACTGGAGCTAGCACTACCCAACTGGGTAACAGAAGACTTGTTGTAGATCTACAGCTGCAATTCTTCTCTTTCCGTTTCTTCTGTCCTTCTGCATAATCTGCAGTAGACATTTTTGTGATAAAAGACCAGTAATCTCAAAGTGACCATATATTTCATCAGCTATGATGGGTGTGAAGGGCCTGGCTTGTCAATTGGTAGGCACTTTAGAGGCATATACTTATTAGTGCAAATGAAGTTTATTCTTCCAGACCAATGAAAAGCATTCTATTTCATATTCATCCATCACTCTTACGTGACTGTTTAAAGTACATCATACATTTGCTGAGCACAACTACAGAGAATTCAGGTCACAGGTTTCAGTCAGTATCCATAAGCTATGGATCTCTGCAAAACATTCCAATTGAAGTTGCTCCCCCTTTCCAAATACTTTCTGGACCCAACCTGGTCCTTCAAGGTCAAGAGTTTGTTATAGGGTATATTATTGTTTACATTATTTATATTATCTATTTAGAGGTGTGGTTTTATTCACTTACCTCCCGTGATCGCTCTTCTGTTGTAACAAACGATAACTTAAAATTAGTAACACTCAAAGTTCCAGATTTTCCTTTGTTATTACTGCTTACAGGAGCAAACAGTAACACTTTCTGAGCTTCTGCAACCACCATTTCTCCTGAAAATTGTATTACAAAATTTACATTTGATTTTGTAACTTCTCAAAGGCAGAACTTCCAAGATGATTCACAGACAATTCTTACAAAACAAATGTTCACATAAGTAGTGTTTATGTACATTTAATACCCTCCAATAGCACTCACCATTACTGAGAATAATTTATTAGTTGATAATACATTATCTAACAATAACCTTCAACAACATTTCAAAATCAACTTTGTTGTAGGTAATATGACCATAAACATAACAGTGATTCTTCACCAACTGCATAAACCTATGTTTTGTAGTTTCTTAGTAGCTCAAACTTCATTGTTGCAATAAACATAACCTCAAATGCAAGTGATAATGCATTGAATTTAAATAATGTGGTCATAAAATGTTACATTGTCATTTATTCGACTGACAACTATATGCGCACATTTTTGGTATGTCTGAATTAAAAAATAGTAGCAAAACAAAGAAATTTACTTTACCTGTCAAAAGCCTGGGGTTAAGATCCGAAAACGAATCGTCGCCGCTCACATTTAGGGACTGAAAGAATAGGTCATAGATGAACAATTCTGATAAATCACACATACCTATATTTGAATTTTAAGTTCATTACTTACCTGTAAATCATAATCTTCTATACCTACGTAACTTTTAAAACTATTGCTCATTTTGTCACTCATCTTTCACAGATCCTACGCCAATGAAGGCATTTAATGTATACTAGGGAATAATATTTTTAACGTGCTTTCGCATGTCTTTCAACGCTGAACTCACCCACCCTCGATTACAAACGGACTACAGTAATTGAGAGCTGCTTTCTAAAAACGTGTCACGTGAAAATGCATAATAAATGCGTTTATTGCAACTCTTCCAGAACGATATGCGTTCATGAACCAACTGTAACGATTCATGGTAGCTTTAATTCAGAGATAAAAAAACAGAACGCAGTAATGTTGTCATAAATGAAACGGCGAAGTCCCCGCAGCCTCCAATGTTGCTCATTGCTCACAAACTCCGGATGCCTTCTCAGGCAGGAGGCAGGTCAGATAAATTTTGATTCCAAGCCCAGATTCGCCGATTAGGAAGGCCTCTGTGACGTCACGTACGAATGGGGCTGTCAGATCACACGCCCACGTTTGACTGCAATGGGATCCGCGTTTCTTTGGGTTGTCACATTTTAAAGGTTTTTTTAAGAAAGCAAAACTATCGAAAATATTTAAGTACTAAATTTGTTTAAAAATTCGAAATAATGATGGAAGTTGCGAGTGAGAACTTGCACGTTTACTTTTAATTGGCTTTCTGACTTAATAATAAAACGAAAATTATGCGGATAATACCGCTTTTCGACACTTGTTGCTGTATGTTTTCACTGAAAACTGGTACAATTCTGATAGGTATCACTCAGGCTGTAAGTATTGAAGAAATACTAATGGAAGTTAATTGCATTCTTCCATAATTCCTTGCTGAAAAAACATAAATGTAGAGGTAGACATATACTTAACAGAATCTTCAATTGGGAGGTGCTTGTTACAAATTATCAGGTTATCAATTTGATTTATTGATACATTACAGGTTGTTATGCTGATACGCATGATATATCACATCAATTATCCTGAAAAAATGAAGAAAAGTCAAGGTAATGTGTGAAATAAAACAATTCCCTCAGATTGTATTGTTCATTCGATAAAATTCAAAGTTGATATGATTAGTGTAACTAATTTGGTATATCTTGCAGTATATACTACATGTGCTGTGTACACTGTAATAGCGATCCTCGACATTCTACTTATCTTTGGTGCTAAGAATGTAAGTAATTGACCCTGTAGTCTCTGTGTATTAGCAGCAATGTAAATATTAATGAAATACTGTAGATTATAATGTATTCCTATATAGTTATATTGTGTCATGTGCCTGTGTGTTTCCTAGTAATTGGTGTCAAGCTTGATGTTCATCTTTGATGGTATTTTGTTTATCCTGACAGTATTTTTACAGACCTGTCTTTATATCCAAAGCTTGGCAAGAACTGTGGCATGCTAGTAGTTCATTATTTATTCCTTATTATACTATATAAATAAAATCTTTCAGTGCATATATGAGTGTTTTTTTATTTCATTTAAAATCCTGCTTACAAATTTTCCTTTTCTGTTTTTTTCCCCAACCCAAGCATGGGGCTTTAGAAAAAGTGTATTATTATAATCTAATCTAACAGTTAAATCACATTCTCTGATTTTAAGACTCTTGCAAGGTAAGCATTGTTCATATAAGATCCAGTACAAAATAAGATAAAAGTTTTCTCTCTGGAAATGCTTATCTACTGCTTAAATACTATCTAATTAAAAAATATTGGCTACTAAATGTTTAGTTCCAAGTAAGTGATAAATGATCGATAATGAATTGAGTAATTTATGACTATTATCTGTCCAAAAAAAATAACTAACTATAGAAACTTTTCTTATTATTAAAATACTCCCATTAGATTTAAAGACAGTTATTTCTAAAATTTTATTTAAATCTAATGTGATCATTTTAATAACAACAAAATATTTAATTAAACTGTTACATCCAAGGATCAGAAACATTTCTTCTAATGATGAAATATATTTAAATGAAAGGAATATATAGTTATAAGCGGTTTATTATTAGATCTTATTATTTAAAAACCATTTAAGAATAACCAACAGTTTATTTTATTTCATTTTCTTGATGTACTAAAACCATCTGTATTTAAACAATTAGGAAAAATAATAAACCATAAATAGCGATGAAAGCAAATAATGTGTACATGTTTATGTAATTTATAAATACATGTACATAATAAAATAATAAATGTACAGTAAACAAAGCTGACTAAATTGGAAATGAGAAAATTAGAAAACCTGGCAGAAAAAATAAAGGAAAACCAGAGGAAATGGAGAAGACATATAGAAAGATGGACAAACATCGATTACCATGGATGACATTAAACTGCAGATTGGAAGTCAAAAAGGTCAGAGGCAGACAGATAAGAGGCATAAGTGGGAACACTTCACTACATGAAGGAATATTGCTTTTCTATCCAACAGAAAGACTGGAACCGAGGGTATTGATCATAATGATGGAATGTTTGAGAAACCAAAAACATGATTCTTTGTAGAGAAACATAATATTAAGAGTTTTTGTTGTTGATACATTTTGAAAATTATTTACATAGTTGGAAGAAATGTAATGTAGAGACCACATACAATTGAATCAAAATAAAATATTCCAAAATTCTATTTCTCTGCAAATGTTATGTTATAATGATGTTATTCTGTTTTAATGTTTTTTATTTAATTGTAGCTTCAAAAATTGAGTTGAAATAAGTTATATCATGTGTTACAAACAAAATTTAAATTTAATTTTGGATTAAACTAAGCAAATAAAATAATTATAAATATTATAGGTGTTTCATCTACTTATGCAAATGAAAAAAGTATGGTAAATCATTACAATAAATTGTGCAGTAAGAAAGTTACGAGAGAAATTCAAAATTATCTGAAAAAAATTAAAATTCACCTTCATGAATAAAAACACAAACAAACAAAATTTTTAGAAAATGTACAAACAGTACCATCAAATAATGTAATTTTGAAACATTAACAATATACCGAAAGATAGAATAAAATTTTAAAAGCGCTTCTTGACTATTTCAGGTAAAAACCAACCAAATGAATTGGACATTAAAAAGCAACAATATAGTTATTGATTTTTACTGACATTTAATAAAGGATTTTTGTTTTTTCTGAAATATTGTTGTGTTTTTCAGTGTTTTGTAAATATGTATTCAAATTATGGTGTATGTCAATTTCATGTTATGGTTTCATATTAACTTTTACTTTCTCGCCTTAAGAAAGCGCTTCTTAAAAGGAAAAAATTATATAATGCTGCGGGAAAAAGCGTTGTCTATTCGGCAGAAAAATTCTTATTGCCGGACCCTAGGAACGAAAAAGTGGATAAATCCATTGCTAAATAGAGAAAAAATATTCACTAACACGTAGTGTAGCCAGAATCCATGTTTTGTGGGTCCTTGATACTGAAAAATCGATTGACAGTCAAATGTTATTGTGAACAGCACTATATTGTGAGTTTCGCAACTCTGCCCCTGGCAGGTATCAGCTGTTGACAGTTTTATTCAATCGGGAGCTTAAACGTCACCATAGTGACGTACTATGGGACGTTTAAGCTCCCTATTGAATGAAATCGTGAATAGCTGGTACCTGCAAGGGGCAGAGTAGCATAAATCGCAGTATAGCGACTAAACCGGTCAGCCGATTTTCTATCCAAACGATCTGGTTGATGTAGCGGATATTTTAATTTTGTGAGGTAACTTACTTCACACGACGCCCCTGGGACATTTTCAAAAAAAAAAATGGCTCCATTGTCTTTTGTTTTGTTTTTCAATTTTGTTGTTAGTCTGAAGAAGGCTTAAGAGTACAGGTCTCGTTTTCGTTGAAAACTGATTTTTCATAAATTGCAAAAATTCATTTTTTCGGCCTCTTCCTACAACCAAAATTATTAAGATAAAGATATTTATCTTAATCTGTTCCGCAAATTCCGCCGATTTTAAAATACGGTCATGTACATTTTTTCGAAAACTTGAGTACTTTTCGCGTAATTTTGCAAGAAATATAATAGGCATTTTAAAAAATTAAACATTTTTTCTCGAAAACGGTTTTTCTATTTTATTAAATTTTGTTGATAGGTGGTGTGAAGGACGTTTAAGAGAATACTGCAGGTCTCATGTTCGTTAAAAACCCTGCTTTACTGAAAATGTTAAAAAATTAAAAATTTTCCGCATCGTCCTACAACTGCAAATGTGAAGGTAGAATTCTTTTTCGTAATGAAATGTATTAATTAAAAACAGATCTTCAAACATAGATATATTGATAACAAAAAAGTGGATAAATCCTTCTCTTGTATACAATCTTTTTTTTCCCCTCTCTCTCTCTCTAGCACGTGATTTAGGCAAAATCCGTGTTCTATGGTCCTTCACACAGAAAAATCAATTGAAGGCAAAACTTACCTGTGGTATATGCTAGAACCTAAATCGATCAGCCGATTTAACTTTGTTCTCGGAGACGAAGACGCTTAAGAGAATGGTGCGGGTGTCATTGCAGCTGAAATCCCTGATTTTACGAAATTTTCAAACATGTAATTCTTGGGGGCATCTTCCTAGAACTAAAAAATGAAGACTTTTTTCTTTAATGAAATTTGTTCTTTGAAAGCATCTTGAAATAAGGCATGATCAAGTTTTCGAAAATATGAGTAGTTTCTGTGAAATTTAAACTCCCCCCTCGTATGTGTCAAGGAACGGTAAGAAAATATGACGCTAGTCCTGTTTTCGGCGAACTCTTCGTATTTTCGAAAATTGAATGAAGTTAACATGTCAAACCTACAAAACTGAAGAAAGTGATTTTCCCCTCTTTAAAAATGGCCTAAACTTTTTTTAAAAAATACAAGTAGATTTCTCTTTATTTGTATCTGAAATTATACAATTAAAAAAGATTCAACTTACTCTCCAAAGTGTTTCATTAAATTTGCTTCTCATATGTAAAAGTAGACAATAATACGGTGCTAGTTCCAGTGATCTCTCCGTATTTTCGAAAATTGCAAAAGTTGCTTGTTGGAAATATTGGGTTGAGACAATTACATTTTTGAGCATTGACCCAAGTTCAAAATTCGCAGTGTTTCTATAGCATAGAGTGGTTCTACAGCATAGAGAATCAGCTCAGAGGAACCGAGTTCAAACCTTGTGGAAAAAAATGTTGCTGGTTATAAATGTTTAATGAAGGGGTATAATATATCAGAGCAGAAATAAATCACATGAGAAAGTATGTGTTGTTGGAGCACCAGTAGTTTCAATCAGAAATACTTTGAAAATACATAGCTATAGAAATCAAAACATGAGACTTAAGACTCCCAATTACATCAGTCAATAATCATATCAAACCTATAGAAATTACTAATAAGATAGTAAAGAACCACATTAATCTGTTTGATTGAGAAAATAATTTACAAAAGAATACTAAAATTGTAATTCTTGTAGAAAATGAACTTACTAAAAATAGCTTACAAGGGAGCAAGTAAATTGCATTTTCTACATCTTCAGTGAAATTCATTTCAGGATATTGTTTTGTGTGATGTTCCCATTTGATATAATCATAGTTCTATTGATTGCAAATATCCGGAATTAATATTAAGCTAAGTTATTAAGTTTGGACTCTAACATTTCTAGAAATGACACATTGATAATCACAGGAATTATAGGTTTTAATAGTGTATTGTTTACAACAAATTTCTATATATTAGGATTTCCAGTATTTTTGAATACATCACAAGTTCCTAAACTTTTTAAGTTTCCCAATTGTTTTGTTCCAAATATTCCAAATAACGTTCATCTCTTCTACTTATAATGGAAAGTTATATTAGTTGACTGAATGGTTGAACTCAAAGTGAGTTTCACTTTCCTCAGGTAAGTGTTTTCCATTTAATTAGATTTCTATTCATGAAACAGTGTGATCTGTATGAAGTCATTAATTTACAAAGAGTATGGATAATATGAATGTATTTCAATATTTCAAAGTTTTAAAATCTAATTCTTGTAAATTAAAATTAATTTGGGAATTTATTTGGAGGCTACATGTATGGTCATGAGGAAATTAACAGTTTTGGAGAATCAGTAAAAAATGAGACATAGATTTATTGTTATAGCTCACTCTCACGGTGGAAGTTTATTACTATGTTTTAAAAAAATCCAATAAGAAACACTGTATTGCAATAGGCCAATAATAATATTAAGTATTACAAACAACAACAACAACAACAACAATAATAGTAATAATAATAATAATAATAATAATAATAATAATAACAACAACAACAACAACAACAAATAAAGTGTGCTAATAATTAGGTAATACAATGAAATGATAAAACTAATATGTAAAGAAACCTAGATCAAAAGTTATTTCTTGCACAATTATCACACTGACTCATACATATACTCTAGCAATTAATTTTCACAATCCTTTGGATTCTCAGCTAGTGGACAAAATCAATAATTGGTGTCTTTTATTGGTAGAGAAAAATGTTTATATAAGATTGTTTCATTTACTACAGAATGATATGGTATTTGATGATAGAATTAATAGTTATTTCAATTTTGATACTTAATTTTTTTTGTTTCATACACACTTCATTTTTCCAAAACATTACATATGTGTTTAGAGAGCAAATGAGGCACACTTTTCAAAATTATATGTATCTTGTAAGAAATGTCATATTTTAGGTAATTTAAGATCAAAATAAAATTAGCCAATTACATACTAACTCTTAATTTGCTCATCTGCTTTAAAAAAATCAATTTCTTTTGGTATGAATCATCTCTTATGCAACTCACCAAATTCTCTTATCATTGGTGTTTTGTACAGTTGTATGAATTTGAGAGAAACCTTGTTTTGAAAATTGCCATATTGGTAAGGAGTTGTTATAAAGTACCCATAAGGAATTGCGAGAATCAAATTATACCAGAAGAAACAAATTAAAGATAAATTCTTTGAAATTTTTTGGACAATATAATTTTTTAATAGGTTTTTGTATCAATGACTGTATTGTATATGTATTAACAAGCATGTTTTTAAAATGAATCCTGGTAGGTATATCATTATTTACTTTGCTGATCTTGGCAACATGAACAACTGGTTAATTTTCTAGTGAATTTAACATTTTGAATTCATGAATGAGAAATTTATTTCATTGCTAATACAATTCACTTTTCTTTATAGCATAATGGATCCATTTCTTAATATCCTTTGACAGCAATTTCATTAAAATAACAAAAAACTATTTCCCTAATGCATACATATGATTTTCTTTTTTAACTTTCTTTCTTTTGTTTTCATAGGAGTAATGGAAAATTAATTTAACAACAATCAATGTCAACATCCCAAGGACTTTTTTATTTCATATGCATTTCAAATCTTTTCTAAATAGAACCTTGAAAGTCAGAAAAGAGACTTTGTATTGTAAAGGTTACATCCCTCTTTCCTTCCTATTGTGTTTTATGGCTTTTACAGTTCCAAGCAAGCTGCAGTTAGTACAATAGATTTTGATGTACTCTTCACAGGTAAGTACTTACACTTATGTTATAACGTGTCATTGAAATTGATAATTTAAATAATCAATGGTAGCATATTCTGATACATTAAATGAAATGAACTGAAATAATTAAAAAATATTTACTGCTACAGTAAATAAAATGACAAAATACCTGTGCATTAAATTGTCATTTACTTATTAATTTTTAATTATTTTCTAGAAAGTGCAAGTACATTTACTAATTTATGGTACAAAATTTCATTTGTAATTAAAAAAAAAAAAAAGAGAGAGAGAGAGAGAAGAAAAGTTTTGAATTCTTTGAAAATAGGTATGATTGTTACTGCCACAGTAACCTAAAGCAAATTCAATAAGGAGTTACAGGAATATTTTGTTCCCCCAGGAAATCCACTTGGAAGAAAACTTTAATCATCTTACTGACTACAAACATTCAGAAAATTTCTTTAAGAATCACAAGAACATTGAAGTAAATGCTGAAGTAATTAGTATTAGATTAATGAAACTTAAATTTGTCACATAAATGTGATGAAGCATTGGCTAAGCAAATACAATAAAAATTTTAGAAAAAGCATTTGTGTGACCAAAAAGTTTTTCTTATCAATGTGAACCCTTCAGCCAATAGAACTACACCTAATACAATTATATAATTGTACACAATTTGTTTTCTACCAAAATCTAATATTTTTCATATTAATTGCAGAAATACTGGCTGCCTGTTAAACTGTGGATTGTGTTCAATACAGTCATCTTTGTGGCCAGAGCATATCTCACATGCATGGAGCTCAACAGAGGTCCACCTTATCCAAAATTGGATATAGTTGAACATGGTAATACTTTTTTTTTCTGCATCTTATTGATATTAATAATGAAAAAGTTTTTTCTGAATTTTGAGTGACGAGGTAGGAGCTTTTAGAAAAAGATTTAGAAGTATTGTGCATAGCAGTGAAATAAAAACTTCATTTATGGAACGGTGAAAACTATAAACACAATACATCAAATTCTATTTCGTAATGTTGCAAACTTGAAAGTGAATGTCCCCATTGGTGGCATGAGGTGAAAAACAATCCAACAGGAATGAGGAGAAACTTATCATAAGTGAAATGTTTTAGTTACCTGTTAACAGGGAACTATTCTAATAGTTCTATTGTACTGAATTCCGTCAATACAATAGCCTAAATTCTCACTATAGGTAAATCTCTTGCTTAAGTGCTTTCATTTTTTGTTCAACATGGTTTTCATTTAATAGAAGGATCTGAAAAGTGACCAGATGTACATATGACTTTTTTTTAATGTTTCTTGCTTTCAAAAAGATTTAGACATGAAGATGAATTAATTGCTTTTCTATTTATTTTAGTGTGCAAAGTGTATGGCCTCCTGGTAGTAAATAGCTATTATCAAGATTTTGTGAGAGAATCAACATCTGGATCTAGAGAAGAATGCAAATGTCATCTTCAACCAGACATCAGCATTTTGTATATTCAGGATCCGTCAGCTGTAACACCGAAGCATAATCAGTGGACGGAGCAACTAGTGGCAGCAAATGCACCTCCTCTTGAACGGTTATAACTCATATGATCAAATTGTTTTTATTTGTCACTAGACTGTTCAAGAGTACATTAATTAAGCTAATATGTTACCTTATTTCATTTGTTAAGGCTTTTGTGAACATATAACAATTTACAGTATATCTTTGTTCATTTTCAACATCCAGATAATTCAGATGATCAATACTGAGCAAAAGAAAGTTTGTTCCTTGAATGATTTGTTTTGAAAGTGAATAATATACCATTTTACAATGTTAAAAAACTTTATATTGAGAGACAGTTTGTAATTTATATAACTTTGAGCATATTCAAGTAATCTCCCATTAGTTTGAACTTTTCTCAATTAGAACTAGAAAAAATATAAGTTCACTACATAATTTAAGTAATAAACATGATGTTCTCTAAACTTCATTAATTTACAGGCAGCAAATATTTTATGTACAAATAATTTGTCAATTAGGGACCTATTAATTTTATTGATTAGTGACAGTTTGTCAGTTGAAATTTTTTAACTGAATGCATGTATTACAAATAAACTCTTAAATATCCTCTTCAAATACTGTTGTTAAACCACCAAAATTGCCTTCATTATTGAGTCAAAAATTTATTCTTGACAAAATGATGACAAAATATGTAAGTAAACTTCTTATTTTCTTGAAAATTTTATTTCATTATTCAGTTACAGTATGTCACCAACTTTCCTTTCCAAACTTCGTGTTTCTGCTTTTAAAAAAGCAAATTCCATGTAAATTATTCTCAGAAGTACGTAGATATCATCTGGATGCTATTCTTACTCAGCATAACAGGATTTACAAGGAGATGAATATATTGCCATTAATTTCTGTTCCTTTTACTGAAAGTTAGCAGAAAATTTATTTTTGACAGTTTCAAGAAATTAAGGACTAAATTTTCTAATAAAAAGCATCAAATATACAATGAAGCAGAAGCAATTTACAAGCATGGCACAAAACTCTTACTCACACAATCTAGATATTAGGAAATAAACATTGGAAGTCAGAATGATATAAAAATATTTTCCTCAGTTAGGCTCTCCTTTTCTTCATGGATTTTTAATATAGATCCATGAAGTCAGCTGATTATATAAAACACAAAACAATCTGTTTTATCTGGTTTTAATTTCCATGACTGGTAGCAGTTTTCACAGTAAGAACAAAGTTATACTGTATTTTAAAGAAATACTGGATGTCTAATCTGACGTATTTAGTCTTTGAAAATCAATTTTGTTCTCTGTTTAGATAATATGAAATTTTTACTATTAATAATAATGTGAGAATGTTGTTTGGATGGTTACTAAGTAATTCATTGTTAGGCACATTTGACACATTTACTGGGGCACTATTTAAATTTCCTTAATAATTAGAAACACATCAGTTAAAATTTACAGATTGTTCCTTGATAATTAATGTGAAAGTGATTCATTGAAAAGCACTTATTGAATTTGGTGCTATATTATTTCATTTTACATCTCTTTCAATAACAATTATTTGAAAGGCAGTTAACTAAAGAGTATTCCTATTTCATAACATTCTAAAGATGCAACCAGAGATTTTGAGAGAGAATTCTCACATTTAAAAGAAAAAGAAGATTGATTATAGGTTCTTACAAATATTGTCAATAATAACTAATTTTTCAAGTTATCTTGTTAAAAGTTTCTTCTTCTTCTACAATTTGTCTCTCCCCTGGAAAATAAAAAAGTAAGTGAACTGGCCCTTTTGAAGTTTGTTAAAGCCTAGTCTGCTTCCTTTTCTTCACTGTATAAATAAGAAACATGGAAACAAAGAGTAGACAATCAAGTGAAGCAAGTAGTAATGAATATACTTGATGATTCCAATTGGTATAAAATATGTTACAAATTCCCTGAATTGATTGTATGTACTCTATGAATAACAAGAAATATGGGAGGATAGATACCTGATCAAGTGTGTTATTAGTTCACACATAGAGAAGAAATTGTAATACTCACTAACTTTCAAACCAAAAAAGTGTTTAGCACATTCAACAGCAATCAGCTGAATTACTATGTTTATCTTATATTTGATCATAGAAATTTATCAAACATAGTTCACGATTCTAGAGTTCCCAGAAAGCTTTCAGAAAATGTTAATCATTCAAAATATGAGATAGAAAAAAATAATATTACTGAATATATTAATTCTGTTTTGTATTGTACAGACACAAAAATTACAAAAGAATTCATCAGCATTCTTAATTACATTTTCATTAGAATAAATGCTGATTGACAACTGAAATTAAACAATTGCCAGTTTTGTTACTACCAGAGTTTTTTAATACATTCCTTATTTATGTTAATCCTTTTAACAGAGTCAATAATAAATATTGTGAAAGATATTCTTTGATTACTTTAAATTAATATTCTACACCTCTCACTGGTTCCTAAAAATTTCACAAGTAAACCTCAATCAATCTTTCTCTTAAAAAGTTTGTCACACTGAATAATAGTAATTGATTACAAATTCGAAAAGCCCTGCTAGTGTTACAACATAAGTGTGGATTTTCTTTTAAGATATATTGCTCAAACAAGTTTGAGTGATTAAAAATGTATGCATGCTCTTGACATAAATCTCGATAATAATGTCTCCATCAATGAAACTAAAAAGCATAATACTCAGCATACAAAGTCAATTTCTTACGTTACATAAATAACAATTACTATTTATAAATCCATACCCTTACCCTAGGCAAAGAATTACTTACGGAACTTTGAGTTTTATCCAGCCAATTCAGTTATAGAAAGTTCAATGAAACACAAAATCCTTTAAAGCATTCACAGATAATGTGACGCGAATCATCAAACATTCTCTCTGTATATAATATGTTAAGGAAAGTTAATAGTTTAATGTGATTTATAAGATATGAACACGAAACCTCATAAGTGTGAAACAAATAAATTTACGACAGACATTGAGAATTTCACACATTATAATGTTAGGGAAACAGGAGGCATACAAGCACGGTATACATGTTACCATTGTATTTAATTAACAGAAAATACATCCTAACCCTTTAAATCCCGTTTCTCATTGTTCCCTCTCATGAGGGGCGGATTCAGCCGATCATTTTGGAGGGGGCCATCACAGATTTTTGTAAAATAATACACACTTTTATTTCTCGCACTTACTAACGTAAGAAAAGAAACTAGTGCGTATTGTAATCATGTGCCGGAAAACAGGGAATTGTCGATTCAAAAACTATTATAGCGAGGCCATGATAACGAATAAGAGGATAAACCCAATTGCTAAATATAGAAAAAATCCTCTAGCACGTGTGGTGTAGCCAGAATCCATGATTTGTGCGCCCTTGATACCGAAAAATCGATTGACGGCAAAACGTTTGTCTATCTGTCCGTCTGAGCACAACGCTAGCGCTTAAACCGTTCAACCGATTTTCTCCAATGATATTCCCCAATCGTTCTGACTGATGTCGCGGCCCCTGGAATTTGAAACCAATATTTTAATATTGGTTATTTAATTTTATTAAATTGAAGATAGAGATTTTTGATTCAGACAACGTATTTTGTTTAAAATTACTTCTTTAAAAAGGTCATTTTCATTGTTTTAAAGAGTAGTTTGGGGGTTATTTCTGCTTGAAATGAATTAAATATACACAAGTATCACACCAACTATGGATCACGAGAAAAATTGAATGAATGATATGAAAAGTAATTATAATTTGATAATTTGTCAATCTGAAGAAGACCACGACAAGATGGTCGAAACGTCGGCAACAGCCTTCCACGCGGCGTCACACGGACAGCCCAGATCACGCACAATGCTACAATCGATATTTGAGAAGCTCGTTGAACGTCGAGATGGTGGTGGTGATACGATTTAGTCGACCTTGTGGTTACAAATTAACATTTTACAAATGATTCCAAACAAACATTCAAAATACAAAAGAGAATCATTCGAACAATAACAAAAACAAAAAGAACCGAGTCCTGCAGACCTCATTTCAAAAAACTTAACATACTTCTACTGCCTTGTGTTTTTATTTATGAAGTTATCATGTTTGTAAAGAAAAATTAGTAAACAATGACACACTTTACAAATTTAACTCGTGCTTACACCCCAATAACACAAGGCAAGCACGTAACCTTCAACAACCAATGTGTACAAGCACATTACCGCAAAAGAGAACGTTCTCTTCAAGTATACAATTCGTCAATAAATTACCAATACACCTGAGAAACACGACAGGCATGTAGAACCTCAAGAAAAAGAACCTCAAACACTTCCTTGGGGAAAAACTTTTTCATAGCATTCAGGAATACCTCAATGACTAACACATGCAATGTGATTTTAGGTGCTGCAGTAGGACTAGGTGTAGAAATAGGGAAAAAGAATCTGGCCGTAACCTGCCTCCTCCTGCCCATTTCAAGATTTAAACAAGGAATATGCTATTACTATTAAATCATATGTAGCTGTTACCATAATTGTTATCATGTACTGTTACTATTACTATTACTA